TCCTACCAGCCCAAGCCAATGCCCCAACCTAGTCAGGTCAAATCACACTCACTTAAGGATGGAGCACAACATCCGACCCAGTAGCACAAGCTAGTCAGTCTAACTCACACCCAACCGCACCCACCCATGTATTTATCTAACCTATTTTTAAAACTACACAACATTTTAGCCTCTATAACTGTACTCGGGAGTTTGTTCCACTCATCCACAACTCTATTACCAAACCAGTGCTTTCCTATATCCTTCCTGAATCTGAATTTTTCCAACTTAAAGCCATTGCTGTGAGTCCTGTCTAGGTTAGATATTTTTAGAATGCTCTTTACAGCCCCTTTATTTATTCCTATCTTCCATTTATACACCTCAATCATATCCCCCTTATTTCTACGCCTTTCTAGAGAGTGCAGATTCAGGGCCCTTAGTCTATCCTCATAGGGAAGATTTCTGATACATGGGATCAACTTTGTCATCCTCCTTTGTATGTTTTCCAGAGCATTTATACCCATTCTGTAATACGGTGACCAAAACTGTGCAGCATAATCTAGATGAGGCCTAACCAAGGATATATAGAGTTGAAGAACAACCTGAGGACTCCTATTATTTATGCTTCTTGATATGAAGCCAAGGATTCTGTTAGCTTTATTGCGAACACTTATGCACTGTTGTCTTGGTTTTAGATTACTGCTAACCAGAACTCCCAAGTCCTTTTCACAATCAGTAATATTAAGATCTATATTATTTAGTTTATATGTGGCATGGAAATTTTCCTGTCTATATTAAACTACATCTGCCACTTCTCCGACCACTGCATCAGTCTATTCAAATCTTCCTGAAGTGCTCTAATGTCTTTGTCAGAATTATTTCGATGGCCTATTTTGGTGTTATCGGCAAACTTGCTTATGTCGCTATTTATTGACCCATATATGTCGTTTATGTAGTTTGTGAACAATAAGGGGCCCAACACTGACCCCTGTGGAACACCGCTCCTGACGCTTCCCCACTCCGATTTCTCCCCATTTATGCAAACTCTCTGCTGCCTATTTGTCAAACATGCCTCTATCCAGGATTTTTTTTTCCTATTCCTTGTGCCTTAATTTTCCTCAATAGTCTCTGATGTGGGACCCTGTCAAAAGCCTTACTGAAGTCCATATACACAATATCATATTCATTACCATGATCTACCTCAAATATCTTAGTGAAAAAAGTTAATAAATTCGTAAGGCAGGAACGCCCCTTTGTAAAACCATGCTGAGATTCGTTGATTAATTTATGCTTTTCAAGGTGGCTACGAACTGCCTCGGCAATTATTGATTCCATAAATTTTCCCACTATGGAGATTAGGCTTATTGGTCTATAGTTCGAAGCTAAGGACCTGTCACCTGTTTTGAAAATAGGCATCACATCTATCATTTTCCACCATGCCAGCTTGTAGTGATATATTGAACAGATTAGCCAAAGGTTTGCTAAGCTCCTCTTTACATTCGTTTAAAGCCCTTGCATACAGTTCATCAGGGCCTGGGGATTTATTAGGTTGTAATTTATCTATTTGTCTAAGGACCATATCACTTGTGACCCTAATCGTGCATAATTTACTATCGTCCTGTTCTACATAATTTATTATATCTGGAATATCGCTAGTATCTTCCTGTGTAAAAACTGAGAGGAAGTAGGTATTGAAAAGTTCACACATTTCCTTATCACTGTCAGTGATCTGACCCGAGTAACTTTTGAGTGGGCCTATCTTGTCCCTGATCTTTCTTCTGTATACCTGAAAGAATCCTTTTGGGTTAGTCTTCGATTCTCTTGCAACTTTAACCTCATAATCTCTTTTTGCCTTTCTTATTCCCTTTTTTATTTCTCTCTTTAAATCAATCTATTGATTTCTTAATTGCCCCTCTCCTCTTTTGATTTGCCTATATATGCCTATCTTTTGACCAATGAGATGTTTTAATCTATTGTTCATCCATTTAGGATCGTTTTTGCTTGATCTGATTTCCCTATTTGGAACATAAGTTGTCTGAGCAGCTAGAACTATGCCCTGGAAAACGTCATATCGGCAATCATCACCACCTACCTGACCCATAGTCAGGTCATTCCAGTTCAGCCCACCACCTGGTCGTTGAGTAGATTAAACAATTTTTCAATCCTATGAAATCAACCAAGCAGAAGTCAGGGACAGATACTTGATTGCCATTATTAGGGGAATTCCATGATATATTAAAACTGAGTGATTTGTGATCACTTTAACCAAGCTCATCATTAACCTCAAGATTATTAATTAGTGATTCCCTGCTGGCAAGAACCAAGTCAAGCAAGTTATTTTCTCTAGTTGGTTCTGTCACAAACTGTTTTAAAAAACAATCCTGATTCGTATCAAGAAAGTCACCTGACTCTAAATTCCCTGTCAAACTGCTCCGGTAAATTTGTCTGAAGTTGAAATCTCCCATTAGCACAACATTTTCGTATGTAGATGCGTTACGAATTTCATCCCATAGAAGTTTAC